AAGAGGACAGGCCTGGAGGATTTAACTGGGGTGAAGGACAGAGAGTGGGTGCCGAACACGAACATGATGATTGAAAAAAAAGAACAATACCGAAATAGAAAATGCTCTTCCTCACACAAGCCTAAATCAAATTATCATAATGTGTAGTGTAAGATAATATTTATACTTCCCCTATGGGAGGACAATGGAAATTCCATGGAGGCGGTTGAAGAAGATAACCTTTTTGCTTTTAGACAACAGGTTTTGTCGGAATAACACCATCTTTCCCCTTGCTTTTCAGTGTACTGTCGCTCCTTCCCACACCCCATTAATCCCATAAGTTGCCCAAGAAAGCCTAAAAAATTATAATCTGTTCCTATGAGCTGGTTCACATAAGCAATGCAAACACAGGCACATCCACTAAAAATGTAAGAACAATAAGGTACGCATGCGTATTTGAGCATATTGCAACCATTTTGGTGCACTTCATTTGTTTACATTTGTGACACACAGATGAAAGTACAAGTGAAAATACCGAAAGTGCAAAGCAGTTATGTCCCATTAGTCTTTGGGCAACCTATGTCACAGGCTTTTTTAAGACATAGGCAAACTCGGGGCGAGATAGTGTCTAGCGCGAAGCGTATGTGAAAGACGTGACGGGAACAGGCGCCTTCTGGAACGTGTAGCGGTTATCAATTTTTCCACTGGCTCCTAATTGTGGCTCCTTTGTTAACGCTCTGGCCCCAGTTGTTCAAATACTGGGTGGATTTAAGCAATAGAAAACGTTTTCCATGTTTGCATAGCCTGATATAAACACGAGAGGGGTTGGGAGAATTCGAGACAGTTATGCAAACCCGAGACGAAGTCGAGGGTTTGCATAACTGTCGAGAATTCTCCCAACGCCTCAAGTGTTTATATCAGGCTACGCAAACACAGGAAAAAAGTTTTCTATTGCTTTTATAAAATAACTTTCCCGAGAAAAAAACGCAAAACTCTTTGTAAGGCACTGATTAAAAGAGAAATTCTTACCAGTCGCAAAATCTTGTCCACGAAGTCTTGCACGCGTAATCAGTTCTTGTTTTGCAAAAAGATGCTTTGCAAAATACGGATTTTTCTCGCTTAAAACGGTCAGCTTAAGCCAAGAAAAATGTACACACCTTCTTTGTAACGATTTTCCAAGTTTCAGCCGACGAAGGAATGGGTAAATAAAGTAAACTTTTTGAGTTTTGAACTCGAAAACTTTTTCAAATTTGTGCTTGCGTGATTAGCGCGCGAAAAACCAAACAACTTGACGCCACAACCATGTTTACATACTCTCATGCAAACACTGCTCTCGGCCAATCAGAGCGCGCGTACTATCTTAGTTATTTTATAAACTCTATAGATCTATTGGATAAATCTCTATCCAGTGAATAGTGCAATGGGTTTCCCTAATACTTATCAGATGGATTGAGATTTTATCCTGTGGAGATAGCTCTATCCAAAGTTTGAATAACTGGGGCTTGAATTTAATGCTCAGCTTATGTGTTGTTATTTGTGGCTAAATCTGAATAAAGTATAATACTTTCATTCTCACAGTAAACTTATGTCTCTGCTGTACCTTACTCCTCTCTGGAATCTTGGGATTCAGGTGAAGGGTTCTCCGGAAGGCCATTTTCGAGTTCCCCGGGCCTCTGTTTCAAAACGAGGGTAGGTGCTCAGCCTTTGATATGGAAATCATTTTTCATTCTCATGCAAATAAAACTCATTTTCACCAGAAAGGTTGAGCACCTAGCCTCATTTTGAAAGTGAGGGTTTTTGGAACTCGGAAGTGGCCTATTTTCCCCACACGTTTCCCAAATCAAACTCTTAGCAACTTTTTTCTCCTCAATCGATAAAGCCTTTTAAGTTTTACCTATCTGTTAAAAGGATAGGCCCTAGGATACGCGAAAGAAATGAAAGAAGAGATAGACTCAGTACCCTGGTCCAAAAGGTTCTTCTTGAAATTTTTCTTCGAGACCGCGTGATGATGATGATGATGATGATGAGCTTCATTTAAGTGTCTCGTCTTCTAACTGGCCTGGTAAGGCCTACTAATAGGGGACAATAATTAAAATACTACCAAACTAACTACTTAAGAGAGAGAGCGAGTCATGGCTTGATCTTTCCCAAGCGGAGAACTTATTTCAAGGAAAACCTCTTGGACCGGGTATATACTTAGTAGAAGAATTTGCAAGATAAAATAATCTTGTGGAAACTAACACAGTTTTTCAGCTAACTATAAGAAGGTTTTACGCTTGGACAACACCTAACGAAGAACATAGGAGTGAAATTGACCAAATTCTCATACTGACCGGCGTAAAAATGGAGAACCTCAGCAGACTGTGGCACGGACCACGAGTTGCTATAAACACTGATTGAAGATCAAAATGTCAAAACGAAAAGAGAACCAAAATCCAGCGGGTTCCAACATGAACAACATAATCAGTGAATTCATAGTCAAAAGTAAAGAACAAGTTCTCTTTGCTGTTATAGCCAACTGATCACGGAAAAGGCCCGTGAGGAAATAGCTGAGTCTGATTTTGATTAAAAAGGTAAAACTGAGATCCGTCAAAGAGAGAAGACTAAAAGATCCCGTGGATTTCTCAACAATCACTTGAAAAAAAAGAAGGAGGTGTACGCAAGGCAAATTTAGACTGCGAACAGTTCCTTAGGATGGTCACGCGAGCGAGGAAATCGAGCGAAGCTAGCGAACGCTCTCTCCAGTCCTGCCGAGCTTAGACTTGACTGACTGAAGAGGGACTGCTCGCAGTCTAAGGCAAATCAGATGAAATTAGCAAAGAGCGTAATAAAGAGTTATTAAACGAAACAGCTGCCGAAATAAGAGCCTCGTACAGGTAGGATAAGAAGACCTACATTTAGAGAAATGCCGGACTGAGATAGAATCGTACCAGGGGCTGGTTTCCCGAAAGGCCCGAAAACTTTTCTGGCCCGAAGGCAATGAAATCCAAACCTGTTGAATAGTAGCACAGTTCCTGGCCCATAAACCAGTCAATTTTGCTTCGTTAGCTGATAGTTTTATTCTCTGATTTTCAAAATTATTAAAACTTTGATCTTGAATATAAACAAGGCAAACACAAAGCAGCTTTCCGGGCCGGAATAGTTACCGGGACTTTCGAGAAAGACCCCAGGTCCTCATTACCTCACAGAAAACATTCAAAGAGATAAACTCTATGACAAAGTAGATACAGCCGCAGATCAGCAGAGTTACAAACACACGAAAGTATTCTAAAACAGAATGAAGAAATTAAATCAGAGGGGAAAGAACACTGTGAAGGTTAGCAGACACACAATGCCATGGAGGAGAAATCAAAAGTTGCGTTAACCAGGAGCCGCGGTAACAATAGATCTGAGAAGTACAACTTTTTTCAGTCCCAGGGCTTTTCCTTCAAAAAATGGGAAGTGCGTCTTTCATTTTCTAAGAGAATAGCCTGAGTATCAGGCCTCCCTAAGGGGCTAGGGGACAGAAACGCCTGATACTCAGGCTACTAAGGGAAAAGCCCTTTATCTCTGCAGCTATCGTGCTACTAGTAGTGGCTTCCGCAGATGTGACTTTCAGCTGCCACCTCCGCTAGACGATCGATTTCGGACGTTTTTGGGCGTTTTTTTCATATCGGTAGTGAGTGCTTTTATTATTTTCCCCTCCATAGCTTGATCGGTTTTTCGGGGTTCGTTTTCTGAGGATTCCACTTCCGCGCACTGCTCGAATTCCCGATTTTCACGACTCTTTATCTCTTCTCTCCCTCCTTTTCTCCTGGATCTTTTTCTATCCACAACGTCTTTCCTCCGCAGAAGCCCCAGAAACCGGTCTCCTCTGTGGAGGAATCCACAACTGTATTGAAAGGGTCTTTGTCACGAGGATATTGTTGTTTCGGTCAATTCTATGCTGAAGTCATTTTTACAGACTTTATCCACACACAAAATGCTCCGTTATAGACATGAAGAAGATCTCAAACAAATTTTACCAGGGACATTTACCATAATAATCAAATAATATATTTTTTTGGTGATTCCTGATGTAGAAATAGCATCATGTGTAAAACACGAAAAAGTTGGCCCAACTTTCAATCCATGTCCACCTTTATGACACCCTTGTCATCCGTTGCAAAAGACTTGAAGAAACGGCTTCAATGCCTTAATATACCCCGTTGACATCAACGCTTGAATACGGAACTGACCATTTTAGAATATTTTTGGAATTAAAATGATACGACAAGTTGGCGTTTTAAAAAGATAGCAAATGGTGTGACATAAGCTCTTTAAATCTGGTCTGCTACACAATCGTTTTTACAGTCGTCACGCAACGCTGGGGAGGAGCGTTGCGTGACGACACTAAAAATAGGTCCGCAATGCGTACATGTGTCTAGTGCTGGGTAATTACTTCGGCGGAGCGCGAAGTAAAGGTTTCGCGACGCTCAGGAATGTATCAAAGTTACAATTTTTTGACAAGATTAGGCATGCAAAGTCTGTAGGTTTTCGGTTTTATTCGGCTATTTGACGAAGTGAGAGCCGAATTAATTCGAGATATCTCGAGATCACTTCGATTTTTTGATTTATTCTTTAACTTTTTCGAGGAAGAAAGAATTATTATTTTGGCTTTCCCGGGGTTTGAACCGACTCACCTGTGTGACCCGTCAGATCAGAGGAGACTCTAAGTTGAGGGAT